CTAATGACCTCTATATATATACACCCAAGGGGAAACCCTAATTAGGTCATAAGGGTAATTACGTCCATCGAATAATTACCAAATAAATACGTAGGGTATTTATTAGGTCAATGATCAATTAATTAGATAAATGATAACTCAGGCCACATAATAAAATCGTGTCCAACATTCTCCCACTTGGCCGAGTAATCATTTATGATGAGTATTAGATAAGTCTGATCAGATTTTAATACTCATTTTAGTTCTAAACCGGAATTGTAGCAGAGAAATACAGTCATTGAATCGATATTCAATTCAAGACCCCCATTAATCATACTACAATACCAAATTTAAAACTTAAATAAGCTAAGGATCCGCATATTCAATTGTACATAAATGTTGTCTATATGTCTTTAGGCATGCATAGACACATTCAGAGACACATTCAGAGACAAAACAAACAAAACAATGAGGAAATTTTATTATTAAATGTAAGCAAGTACAATATGCATAGACACATAAATGTACAATATGCAAGTACAATATGCATAGCTAAGGATATCGATATTCAATTGTACATAAATGTAAGCAAGTACAATATGCATAGCTAAGGATATCGATATTCAATTGTACATAAATGTTGTCTATATGTCTTTAGGCATGCATAGACACATTCAGAGACAAAACAAACAAAACAATGAGGAAATTTTATTATTAAATGTAAGCAAGTACAATATGCAACTAAATAAGGTCTTTAGATAACCCCATCTTCGAAACATGTTCTTCGAAAATCTTAGGAGGGAGACCTTTAGTCATCGGATCCGCAAGCATATTCTTTGTACTTATATGCTCAATACAAAGTTTATTTTCCTCAACTCGCTCACGTACGAACAAGTACTTTGTATCAAGATATAAAGCAGCGCCAGTCAAACTGTTACTGTTCGAGAAACTAACGGCGGCTGAGTTATCACAATAAAGCTTCAATGGTCGAGAGATGGAATTAACTACTTTGAGTCCAGTAATGAGGTTTCTAAGCAACATCCCATGACAGGTTGCGTTGTACAGCGCAATGTATTCTGCCATCATTGTAGAAGTTGCAGTCAACTCTTGCTTATGACTCTTCCACGAGATAGGTCCGCCAGCTAACATAAAGATATACCCTGAAGTGGATTTCTTGTCATCTTTGCACTTAGCAAAATCAGAATCAGAATAACCAACCACTTCTAAATTATCACTCCTTCTGTAAGTCAGTTTATAGTCTTTTGTCCCTTGTAGATATCGAAGAACTTTCTTAGCTGCTTTCCAGTGATCAAGACCAGGATT